ACATCATCAACACTTTACAAAAAAACTGTCAAAGCGATTTCCTTCAAACTTGGCAAGAATGAAGCTGAAAACCACCTTCACATGTCTGAAAACTCAAATTTTGAAAGAAGTGCCGCTGAAGCTTAGAATAAAGAAAAGTTGTTTGTCCCTATACTAATGCATCGGGGATACGAGGTTTTTCACGCGCACTGCGCCGAACAGGTTCAATCCTGTCGCGTGACGTCACAGCATTATAGACGAACCTTCAGGTTTTTGGGGGTATTTATCGACGGATTTTCATGAAACTCTCTACCCATGGGTACTCTTTGACGGAAAACTCGAATTTTTGGTCAGATATTCAAAATTTCAAGATCCAAGATTGCGGCCGTGGCCTAAAATGCTGAGTCGGCTCATGTTCGATCGATTTTCGTGAAACTCGGTATCTGGAGGTATTTTTCGACGGGAAACTTTAATTTTTGGTCAGGTTTATAAAATTGCAAAATCCAAGATGGCAGCCGAGGCCTATTATGCTGTCTATGCTTCACTTTGATCGATTTTCGTTAAAATCGGTATCAGGAGGTATTTTTCAACGGGGAACTTTAAATTTTTGACACATTTTCAACATTTCAAAATCCACAATGGCGGCCGCGCTCTATCTTGCGGTCTTGACTTCTGGAACATCAATTTTTGTGAAACACTGTGAAAATGAAGATGAAGACGAAGATGTTGTTTTCTCCTCAATGTTAAAAAGTACGTGGGGCGGTGGCGGCTCGCGGAGCGAGTCGCAAGTTCATCGCGAAGCGAAGAACTGAGGTCCAGGGGCACTCCCCGGCTACGAGTGTCAGCTCGCTCGCTAATCACGGCTAGTTACTCTATAAAAAGCTGCTGTTCCCACTCACTATGCCCCCCCTAGATAAAAATTGGACGAAGCGATTTCCTTTAAAATTGGTACACGCTTAGCTATCGTAATGAGGAGTTGATTAAAATTATTCCCATTCAAATTCGCTGCCTCGGATGCCCGCAAGTGCGAAAAGTTATTTCTCCATATAGTATTTCAATCCTGTTGCGTGACGTCACTGCCTTATAGACGAAATTTAAGGTTTTAGGAGGTATTTTTCGACGAATGTTTGTGGAAATTGGTAAGCGGGGGTATTGTTCTCGGGGGATCTCGAATTTTTGGTCGGATTTTCAAAATCTCAAAATCCAAGATGGCAGCCGTGGCCTAAAATGCTATATCGCTTCCTGATATCGATCGATTTTTATGAAATTCGGTATAAGGAGGTGTATTTCGACGGAAAACTCGCATTTTTGGTCAGATTTTCAAAATTTCCAAATCCAAGATGGCGGCAGTGGCCTAAAATGCTAAGTCGGCTCCTGTTATATCGATTTTCGTGAAACTCGGTATCCAGGGGTATTTTTCGACGAGAAACTCGAATTTTTGGTTAGGTTTTCAAAATTTCAAAATCCAAGATGGCGGCCGTGGCCTAAAATGCTATATCGCTTCCTGATATCGATCGATTTTTATGAAATTCGGTATTAGGAGGTGTATTTCGACGGAAAACTCGCATTTTTGGTCAGATTTTCAACATTTCCAAATCCAAGATGGCGGCCCTGCACGAAAACGCGGTCCGGACTCCTAGAACATCAATTTCTGTAAAACTTAGTGAAAAAGAAGATTAAGACATAGATGTTGTCTCCTCATCAATGTTAAAAAATGTGCGGGGCGGTGGCGACTCGCGGAGCGAGTCGCAAGTTTGTCGCGAAGCGTAGAACTGGGGTTCAGGGGCACTCCCCGGCTACGAGTGTCAGCTCGCAAAGCGAGCTAATTACGACTAGTTACACTATATAAAGCTGCTGTTCCCACTCACTCTGCCCCCCCCCCCTAGATAAAAATTGGCCGAAGCGATTTCCTTTAAAATTGGTACACGCTTAGCTATTGTAATGAGGAGTTGATTAAAATTATTCCCATTCAAATCCGCTGCCTCGGATGCCCGCAAGAGCGAAAAGTTATTTCTCCATATAGTATTACATTGGAGATACGCGGTTGTTTACGCGCTTCGCGCCGAACAGGTTCAATCTTGTTGCGTGACGTCACTGCCTTACAGACGAAATTTAAGGTTTTAGGAGGTATTTTTCGACGAATGTTTGTGGAAATTGGTAAGCGGGGGTATTTTTCTCGGGGGATCTCGAATTTTTGGTCGGATTTTCAAAATTTCCAAATCCAAGATGGCGGCCGTGGCCTAAAATGCTATATCGCTTCCTGATATCCATCGATTTTTGTGAAATTCGGTATTTGGTGGTATATTTCGACGGGAAACTCGAATTTTTGGTCCGATTTCAAAAATTTTAAAATTCACTATGGCAGGCGTGGCCTATTATGATGTCTTGGCTGTCTGCTCGCAAATCGAGCTAATCACGACTAGTCTTATATGTACAGTAAAGGTCGGTTTTGACGGTTTTCACGAAATGAGGGTCGTGCCGATTGTCCGATCTTCCCTAAAATTTGTGTGCAGGTCCTCTCCGGTTCGGTGGGTAACACTGGCTACTTCAATTTTTTCTCGGTCGTGATTTCGGAATTTTACTGTCTAAAAATGGGAAAATTGGGTAGAGGGACGAGCTCACGGTTGCTAAGCAACCGCCGCCGCAGCATAGCTGTAAGTGCCATCATCGATACATGTAATAATCCATGTGTATCGCAGTTTGGTGCGTCCGATGTGTTTGTTGTGTTTGATGTGTTCGATATGTTTGCTGTGTTTGTTTCGTTTGATGTTTTTTTTTGCGTTTGATGTGATTGTTGTGTTTAATGTGTTTGTTGTGTGTTGTGTTTTTTTGTTTTTGTCTTTGATGTGTTTGCTTGACGTGTTTTTGTGGTTTTTTGGGTTTGACGTGTCTTTTGTTTTTGGTGTGTTTTTTATGTTTGATGTGATTGTTGCGTTTGATGTGTTTATTGTTTTTTTTTGTGTTTGATGTGTTTTTTTTGATTGATTTGTCTTTTGTGTTCGATGTTTTTTTTCGTGTTTGATGTGTTTTTTGTGTTTGTTGTGCTTTTTGTGTTTGATGTTTTTTTGTGTTAGATTTTTTTGTGTTTGACTTGTTTCTTGTGTTTGATGCGTATTTTATGTTTGATGTGTTTGATTGATGTGTTTTTCTGTTTGATGTGTTGTTTAATTGTTTTTAGTGTTTGATGTGTTGTTGTGATTGTTTTTTTTTTTTTGTGTTTGATGTGTTGTTTCCGTTTAATGTTTTTATCGTATTGATGATGTGTTTTATGTGATATATATCGTTTTGCATCGATACATATTGATTTACCTACATTGATATCGGAATATACCTATATCGATATCGAAATACACCTATTTCGATAATCGATACGCATCGATGCAAAACGATATATATATCACATAAAACACATGAAATATATAAAACACATCAAACACAAACAACACAGACACGCTCTGATTAACTGATTCATTTAATACCTAGAAAAAAAGAAGAGAAAAAATTTACCAGGAATCGATAACGACATACAGAATGTATCGATAAGTATCGATGTCGTTGGATGTGGATATAGTTAGTTAGGATGTATGTTTCGATGTATATCGATTAAGATGTATTTATCGATGAGGGATATAGATCGATTTGTATCGATTCAGATATGCATCGATATAGGTATGCATCGATACAGATATGCACCGATACATTGATACGAATCGATATACATATATATCCATCTATATCGATACGGGTATATTTCGATATAATTAAATTTGTGTACAGGTCCTCTCCGCTTCGGTGGATGACACTGGCTACTTCAATTTTATCGTCAAAAAATGGGAAATTTGGGGAGAGGAACGGGCCCACGGTTGCCAAGCCTGCGTTGCTAGGCACCTTTGTTTGCGATGTATATCGCCATACTTGTGATAATCGATCCTAACTCACTATATATCGATGTATAGATATCGATTTGCCTCATATATTTGTTTTGTTTGATTTGTTTGTTGTGTTTGATGTGTTTCATTGTGTTTCATGATTCGTCTTTTGTGTTTGATGTGGTTTTTGTGTTTGATGTGTTTCATTGTGTTTCATTATGTGTTTCATATGTTTGGTATGCTTGATGTGTTTGTTGTGTTTGATTGCGTTTCATGATGCGTTTGATGTGTTTGTTGTGACACACAACACACAACAAACGCATCATGAAGCACAATCCAACACATCAAACACATCATGAAACACAATCAAACGCAACAAACACATCAAACACATGAAACTCATGAAACAAAATCAAATACAGCAAACACATTAAACACAAAAAACACATTAAACACATCATGGAACACAGTCAAACACAACAAACACATCATCAATCAAACACAATCTTAGGTGAATTTCATTTGGTGATTTACACTTTAAGTGAAACTTATTTACATAAAAAACCCCGGAATTATTAATTGCCATTGATAAATGTGAGTGTGTCGAAAATAATCAGTTATGAGACATAGAAATCTTCCCTGGTCAGATTTTTTATGAATTATTATTGTTAATATTTTTCAGTTGTCGTCTTATTTTCAGTCGGATCTTCATAATATATCTATGTCCTTGGCTAGGGCTATTACTCCTTTTTGCAAGAAGAACATACATTTTACCATATAAACACGGATAGGAAGTGTAGACGACACTGTCCGTGCGAAGCACGGGTTGAACTGCTAGTTCATAAAATAAAAGGTCTTGTCGAGAGCTTTCATTTGAGCCCAAGATCAAGGTGATCCGTTGCGTTGTTTCGTTCAAAAGTTATGGCTGTTGGTGCGTTTGACCTTTGACCCATTAGCGGTCCCCACTGATATCAGATCTGGACCAAAGATCACGCAATTTGCATCGATATTGCATCATCAATTATAAATGCGCATGCCATTTGGATTTTTGTTTTTTTTCTCGTTTCAAAGTTTTTTCATCGTTTTGCCTGAGACAGGACTAAAGACTATCTTTAAAAATTTCTTACAACTATACATTTTGTAACTTGATAGGATGGGTTGTACACCAATTATTGCTGCTTGCGATGGCGAATATGCAATGGAACCCCGAAAGAATGTTATGATATGGAATCTTCCACCAGTTGATAGTAGTAATAAAAATGGCGCCCTAGAATTTAGTACCAGCAATGCTCGTCCAGCTGATTTCTTCCCTGTTGCTGTCAGTTTCCATTATGATGGTTCTTACGCCCGTTTGAAGGTAAGTCTTGCATTTTTGAATTACAAATTTTTAGCAAATGAGGTTGTTTTTTCAGAGTGTGTATCGTCAGTAAAAACCGGAAAATATCAGAAAATTCTATGTCATGAAGATAAATCAAAAGCTTATCAGAAAAATCAGTCATGGATCAGGAGTCTGAGTTCTTCAAGCATTTTTCAATCATTTGACTCAGTTATGTAATATTTTGGTTTGTAAAATCAACCCAATGTCAATTCATTCATTCCAAAATCAGGGAACGTAATTTAAATTATCAGGGAAGTATCAGACAGAAAAACCCAAAATGAAATTTTAGTACATACCTCTCATCTTTCTCAACTTTAATGTATCAGTCTTTTCTGATCAACTGCGCTGTTAGGTTAGATTAGGTTAGGATAGATTATCGGTTCTTTAAAATTAGCGACATTCTGTTAAATGGATAACTTCGTGTTAAATTATCGTTTTTTCTCAATTTTTTTTTTAAATTTCAGACCTTTAAAACTATAACCTTACCCTTCGTGTGAAGTAATTAGTGAACCTATTATCTTAGAAGAAGCATAATAATGAAAGGCGGATTGTCCACCTCATCTGTGCACTGCACTGTCCCGCGTCTCGTCGTGCCACCTCCAGAACCTCCTTTTTCTACGGCTCATGTCACCCGTGCACCGTAGCTCACTTTCATTCATTCAACTGACTGAGAATGTGGTTGTGACATGAGTGAGGGATTTGAGAATAAAATACAGGGTTTTCCAAAAGTCTCGTTCCCCCCCCCCCT